AGTCTCCAGCTTTTGGCAGCTCTGGGAAAGAGACTAAGCAGTTGTATTAATAACAACTATATTAATTAACTGGTGTACCAGGATGCTTCTTGAGACGATGCTTCCCCTGAAAACGCAGTGTGCTTGGCCGTGTCACACTCTTGCTCAGGCCATTCCACTTGCCTCAGACAGTCCCTACTCCCCATTTTTCAGTACTGAAATCCTACCCCCGATTCACACCTGTCTGCAGCGAGCTCCCTCCCCCTCGCCAACTCTAAAACCTCATAGCAATCATGTTGCTTTTATTTGTGGGTATGTCGCAGGCACTGTTAGATGCCGAGGAGAAAATACACCCAACAACGTACTCTCTAATGGGAAAGACAGGATAAACAGATAGGTAAACACTATGTATGCAAATTAGGGTGGTGCTATGAAAGCAGTAAACAGGAGGCTGAGAGAGAGAGACTGAAGGTGCAATTTACATAGGGTGATCAGGAAATGCTCCCCCCTCCTCTGGGGGAAGTGAGTGAGGGTCAGCGAGAAGTCAGAATTGTTACACTAATGAACATTCTACTGCTTGGAAACAAGGAGGTTCCACCCAACAGAGGCCTATAAACACACTGATCATGTGGTCCAGAAAAGGTGACCCCGCATACCTTGTTGACACTACTGCGCAGGGACTGTAATTTGGATTTTCAAAAACAAAAAAAAACTGAACATAATGAGCTAAACATCAAATCACAAAGTTTTAAGAGAGGGTAAGTGTAAACAACAAAAGTAGGAGGAAGAAAATGGTAAGAATAAGGGGTAAAATTAATGAAATAGGGACAAAGAAGTAATGGAAGGGATCAATTTTAAATGGTTCTTTGAAAAGAATTAGAAAATGGACAGGTCTCTGGTATGATTTGTCAAGGAAATAAAGACACAAAAATACTGCACGAGAGAAGATTATAACTACTGTAAAAATTTAAATAATTACAAGAAAATGCAAGGCATTAATTCATACAAATAAATTTGAAAGCTTGGACAAAATGTAAAACTTTCTACAAATTATAATCTAGCAAAACTGACAAGAGAATTAGAAAATTTGAATTTACACGTAAATCAAAGAAATTTAAAACTCTACATATACACATTGTTTTACAGGCAAGTTACATCAAATCCAAGACCAGTAATTTCCATATTATACGAACTGTACCTGAGGGTTGAGACTAATAAAAACAGAAAGTTAGTCAATGCATTTTTTTGAGACCAAGGAAACCACAGTGACAAAAATAAACAAGAATTGGTGACAATCAAAAATTATAGACCAATATTACTTATAAAAAGTAATGACAGAAATTGACACAACATTGTAAGCTGACTATACTTCAGTGAAGAAAAGCAATGACAGCTCCTAAAAATATTATCAATCTAGCATTGAATATTTTAAAATAATACTAATACATCCAGAAGTATGAGGAAGGCTTAATATTTGTTCAACATATCACCTACATATATTAACTATAAAATTCTCTCAGTAAATGCAGAAAAGTCATTTAGTCAAGTTTAATATGTATTTATAATTAATGTCTTGGCTATAAAATCTCTCAGCAAACTGGGAAGTAAAGGGAACTTCCTTAAAAATGACAAAAAGAATCTTTTAATTTGTTTTTAAAACAAGGTGTTAAAAGCATTCCATTAAAAACTTGGGGGGAATAATTTCCAGTATTGTTCTTTCTATTCTACATTACACTAAAAGTCTTAAATAGTTAGTAAAATAATAAAAAAAATTAAGACTAGAAAAAACAATTATCATTAATCATAGATGGCTGATTCTATTGCGTGGGGAGGAAATGTACAAAATGAGCCCAGAATATCTTGTCATGAGAAAACATGACAGAAGCCATGTCAAAAGACTCAGGAGCCAAACTGAAAAGATTTTCACTGGCTAAGAGTGGGGCAAGTCTTGAATCAATAAGAAAATGAATCTAGTGGATTGCAACACACCAAGTATGCTTAAATTCATGGGTTCATGAAAGAACCCATTTCCTTTTGGGGATTTGTCCTGGTGTACCTGGGATTTGCCTGAGACTATCCTGGTTTTAGCACTGAAAGCCTCCTGTCCTGGGAGCCCCCTCCATCTCAGGGGATGGGTGGTCACCCTGCAGGGAAACCAACTCACTATCCTGATAAAGGATAAATAAATGAAAAGAATCATACGCTTGACCTCAGAGAATAATTGAAAAATTGACAAGGAAAAAATTATCTTTCTAGAAGTAGTATATAGATATAATATATAGAAATATAAAAATATAGAAATAATAAAGACATATAGAAATATTATAAAGTTAATAAGTGAAGTAGAAATGATAGAATATCATCATTTTGCAGACCAACTCCCAACCAAACAATAGATCTAATCACTGCTTGTCAACCGTCACTAACAACACTCACACACACAAACACATAGAGACAACGTGACAGTATGTGTCTTGTGAGCAAAGCACACAACGCCGTGATGTCAGGATTTGCTTTAAATTTACCAGGACTGGGGGAGGTCTGCAGACACATAGGGTGGTGGGGGTGCGGATTAGTAAAACTGGCTGTGAGTGGATAATTGCAGAAGCTGGATAATGGGTCTATGTTTTTTTTATTCATCCTATTCTCTCTTCTTTTGTAGATGTTTGAATTCTCCGTAATAAAAAACTTCAAAAGAACCTGGTTAGCACACAAATAAATCGTCAGAAATACTTATATCTACAATGTCCACTAAATCGTATTTTAAATAGGCAAAATAAATATGATAAAACAAAATACAATAATGCCAAACAATGATGTTTAAACAAATTAAGGTACACTTACACAACAGAGTAGTACAAAGTGGTAAAAATCACATTTTCACGTACAATTGAATGCCATGATGGTATATTCATAAACATAATGTTAAACAAAAGAAGATTTTCCGTATGACTCCATTCCTTTAAAGTATGCACATTTGCATTAAAAATACTAAAAGAAATACAACAAAACGTTAACAGTATTTTTCTCTGGGTGATGAGACTATTGTTGGATTTTATGGTCTCCTTTACACTTGATACTTTTTGGTTATGTCTACATTGAACAAGTTGTCTTCATAATAAAAAAATACACCACATGTTACATATTTATTAAAGAAAAGGAGCGAGCCTGGAGGAAGACAGCTGGAGGGCAAACACAGACAGCAGGTGACATGACTAAGCTTGCACAGGCAGAAACCTCATTTCCAGCTCTGCCACAACAAGGCCACAGGACTGCCCAGCTCCAGTGACACCGCCAGGGCCTGGCAGGTGGCGGGCAGAATAAGAGCCACTTCACCAGCGGGAAGAGCCCCAAGGATGCAGCCTGGACCACCTGCTTGCTTGTACACAGCCCTAGCCTTCATCTGCCTTGGTAGGGAGCTCTCCAACTCTGCAGCCGGCATCTGAGGAAGGAGATTTGGGGAAGAGGTTGGAATAGAATTAGACTGTGCTTTCCTCTATTTTGTTTCCTGCTCAAAACTGGGCTTTGGTGACAGCTTTCTTGTGAGCAGTGCCAGCTCACAGCAAAGTCATTTTTCTTCTTTTCCGCAGGTCCCAGCAATGTTGAGGGCGTCGATCTATCTACAAACAAAGTGTATAAGAAAGAGGGGGAGTCTGTGACCATGGAATGCAAGTTCTCAGTCAGCTCTATTTACTACTATATGATGTACTGGTATCGACAGCTTTCCAGTGGAAAGATAACTCTTTGTGTGATTAATATTTATTCTTATAAGCGGCATTCATGTGACGGACGATATACTGTAAAGTTTTACAATCCAACCCTGAAGCTCACGATCTCGGTTTTGATGCTTAGCGACTCGGCCATCTATCACTGCGCTATCGCAGAGGTCCACGGTGAGGGTGGTGACAGGGAGTGCCTTACAAAAACCCCCAGGCTCAGCACAAGACAGCCACCTGCTCCTGGAGTCAGGAAGAGAACAACCCACAGGACAGGAAGAGGGTAGACACAGGCACGGTGGGTGGCTCTGCTGGGTCTAGAGAGGAGCCAGTGATTGATCTAGGAATGATCTTGCCACATTTGCTGTCAAAGAAGGAGTGGCTGCAAGCACCTAACCTCAAGAGCATTTTCATTTCCAATCTAGTGCCTAAGTGTAGCCCATCAAAGGGTGCCTCTGTCATTTCTGCCAGCCCAAAGCCCACCTCCCTTTTCGGGTGACAGCACCTTGATTTTCCCTGGATAACAAGACTCCCCTCCTCCTACCCCACGTGTGGGTTTGTATGAGGCTGCCTCCATCCTTGGACTCCCTGACCAGTTAGCACAGTTCATCTCTCTGACCACAATGATGGGTTCAAGGATGGGTACGTGACCCAAGCCCACATCCCAGCATCAAATATGATACCAGTGGGAATGCTACTGAGGATGTAAGAAGCTAGGGTGTTGTTTAAAAGCAAGAACAAGCCCAAAATGAATTATCTGCCCCTCTACAAAAGCAAATCAAGACTCAACTGCAGTTTCAACCTCTCCCAGAAATGAGACCTTTAAAACAGTCAATCTGAAATTTCCTGATTAACACCAGTGAGGTAATCTGCAGGATAACATCCCTGCCATTCCCTTTCCCCAAGAGAACACCATCCTTTTTTTCCCTTTTGCTCAAACATCTTGCCTTTCTCTCCTTCTGCCTATAAGAACCTTCCATTTTGCACAGCCCCTCAGAGCACCCTCTGGTTGCTAGATGGGATGCTATCTGACTCATGAATACTTGAATAAATCCAACTAGACTTTACAAATTTACTCAGCTGAATTTTGTTTTTTAACAAGGTAAACTTAGAGCTGCCAGCAGCCCTCTTCTCATCATAAGGGAAGAGCAGGATCCTGAAAAGAAAGAGTGAAACTGAGTTGCTGCTGGAGGCCCTGCACCCGGCTGTGATGAGAGGAGATCTACCTGGAATTTCCAGTGGAACAGCCCAGCTGCCTTAGCTAGGGTTCCGACAGAAATAGACGAGGAATCAAGCGCAAGTGGTCTAGTCAGGAAGTGGTTCCAGGATGCAGGGCAGGAGCACTGGGGAGAGCGACAGGAAAGGAAGACAGCCAATAAAGGGCGTGTGCTGTCAAGCCAGCTGCCAGTGGGCACCCGGAGTTCAGTTTGCCAGGGACTCTTCTGGGAACCAATGCAAAACACTTGCCTCAACTTGTCCCATCTGAGGGCCAAAGGAGGGGGGTACTGGTACCCTAATCCTGTCTGTCATTGGTGGAGGACAGCTCCAGGGGATGAGGGTGTTCATTCTTCAGCACCTGGGTCTGCCCAGCAGGCTATGCAGTAAGGGAAGGCCCTTAGGCAAAGAAACCCAAGTGTTGGCCGGAGGGTTTTGGCAAGAGGAAGTGGGTGGGCTTGAAGTCTTAAGCACAAGGGGATTCAAGTAAGACATCAACAGTGCAACACAATTTCTTTTTTTTTTTTATGGGGGAAGGTAATTAAGCTTGTTTGTTTATTTATTTATTTATAACAGATGCTAAGAATTGAACCCAGCACCTCGTGCATGCTAGGCATGCTCTGTACCACTGCGCAATATCCTCCCCTCCAATTTCTTTTTTTTTTTTGTAAGCTATTTTGAGTTGGATTTTCTATCACTTGCAATCAAAAGAGACCTAACTAAAAACATTAATAAAGATAACATTGGGTAAAATGAACTCACCAAGCAAAATACTTTAAAATTAACTTTTAAAACTTCTGGCTTGCTGCGGTTCAGAAAGGATACTGTGAGGGAGGGGAAAATTTCCCCCTCTACCCTTCTTGAGCTCTTGTGACTGGACGAATAATAAAATGGACACAAAACAGACTAACAGGGGAAAAAGAAACGCATTTTCATTCCTGCACACAGAGGTCTCATGCAAATGGGACCTGAGAAGTGGTCAAAGCAGGCAGCTTTTGTACTTTGTAGACAAAGAAACCATAAATTCTTGAGGAATTGACAGGACAAAGAAATTTAGGGTTTGGGGTGCTTAATTAGTGAGAAACCTAAATAGAATTTAGGCTTGAGGTTGTAAATTAAAGAAGCCACAGCCGGGGAGGGTATAACTCAAGTGGTAGAGCACATGCTTAGCATGCATGAGGTCCTGGGTTCGATCCCCGGTACCTTCATTAAAAAATAAATAAATAAACGTAATTACCTCCCCCCCGCCACACACAAATAAAACAAAATGAAAGCCCAAATAAGCCACAAGGTTTGTTTACACAGGTTTCTTAGCCCAAATTCTTGATCTCTGGTGATAAGTGTGTCTTACCTCCAGATGCAGGAAGGACACCATTCACATGGGAGATTTATTTTCTGCTTTCAAGGGGTCAGAGGAGGGTCAGAGTTTCCTTCTTACATCGGCTGCTTCTCAAGTAACTTCAATTCAAAATGATCAGTGTACGATTCATTGCAGCATATTTTAGGGCGACCCACCCTGAGCCCCAACAATACAGCTCATCGCACTGCCCAGATTGGATAAGTTGGTCAGCTCGTTCCTCCCACGCCCCTAGTGTGCTAAGGAGACAGGACAAACTGAACTCCTGTACCCACATTATTTACACTAAACACTTAACTGTTCTCTCCGCTTCTACACTCTTCCTGCCCAGGGTCGCCTTGCTTAGTGCTGCCAGATTCTCCTCCCTAAGGTGTCCCGCCCTACCTGCTCAAAAAGCCGGGGTCCCCTTGTGAGGCTGAGCTTTTCCCAGCTCCAAAATTCTCCTCTTGTTGTTTGCTTCTCCAGCCATATGTTTCTTCCCCACTTATACCTTTGAAAGCTCATAGTCTTTCAAAACCTACTTCACACCTCTCCTTTGATGTCCTTGAGGATGAGCAGGCCTAGATCCCATATCTTGGTTTCTAATATCATTTTCCAATGAAAGGAACCAGAGCTCCTTGGAGAGATGGCGGATTCCAGGGCTGGGGCAGGGACTGTGCAGGGTAAGCCTGGAGCACCTTATTGTGCTAAAAATGACAAAAATGATGGGGCCACGTCAAAGGGACATAGGAGCCAAATGAAAAAGCTCCCTGTGGCCAAAGCTGGAACAATTTGAGCAATAAAATAAATAAAATTGTAGAGATTATCATACTAAATAAAGTAAGTCAGAGAAAGACAAATATCATATGATACCATTTTTACATGGAATCTAAAAAATGACACAAGTAAACTTATTTACAAAACAGAAAGAGACCTACAGACATAGAGAAAAACTTAATGTTTACCAAAACGGAAGTTGGGGATAATTTAGGAGTTTGGGATTTGCAGACGATACTAACTACTACATACAGAAGAGATAAACAACAAGGTCCTGCTGTATAGCACATGAAACTATGTTCAATATCTTGTAATAGCCTATAATGAAAAAGAATATATGTATATATATGTATAACTGCATCACTTTGCTGTACACCAGAAATTAACAACATTGTAAATCAACTATATTTCAATAAAAAATAAAATAGTACTAAGTAGTAATCTAAAGTAGAAAATAAATATCCATGAGTCACTGACATGAATAAATAAATTATTGACTAAATAAATGAGGGAGACTAGACAAATCTCCCAAGCTGAAGAGTGCTGAATCATCTCCGTAGACACCTGCACCCCAGGAAGTGGAGCATAGCTCCCCACTCCTTAAGTGTGGGCTACACAGAGTGACTTCTTTCCAAAGAGGACAATACGGAAAAGATGAAAAAAGGGTAACCTTTTAATGGAGAAACCTGACAAACATTACTTCAGCCAACGATCACATTCCACATCAACAGAGATAAGTCAAGATGATAGTGAGTCTGCTTGATATGATGTGACAGAAATGGTACTTTACCTCTGGGGGTCTTCCTCTCAAAAATCCATAACCCCAGTCTAATCGTGAGGAAATGATATTTTGAGTTTATTAGGTTAAATAAAATACATTAATTTTATTATAAATTTATAAATACAAATAAATTTAATTTTATATATTTCTTTATACTTTCTTTTAACGTGGCTACTAAAAATTTTAAATTGTGCGTGTGGCACACATTGTATTTCTATTGATAGCAGTGGTCTAAAAGGCTAGGCATGAAAGGTTAACAGTAGTTATTCCTGGTAGTGGGATTTAAAGGAATTTTTAATTTAAGTGTTCCTCGAGTAATTTTAAGAAGCAATAAAAATAAAAGGATGCAAAGAACTCCCACTGTGAAATGTCACACTAAAGGATGGAGGCACCAAGCAGAAATGTCAAGCCACAGAGTCCTCCCATTAATTAATTATTCATTCGTTCGTTCATTTGAAATACATATACTAAGTGTCCTATGTGCAAGGCCCGGGGACAGTTGCGAGGAATCGAAACACAAAAAAGATGAGCTGTAGTTCTTTCCTTCAAGGAGATCGCAGTCTACATGGGAAGTTAGGCTCATGAATAAAATAGAAGAACACAGTGTGGTCAGTGATACCAGGACGATGCCCATTGAGTCAGCTCTCTGCTCCGTCCTGCTTTCCATGCTGCTGTTTTTCTGGCCTCCACCTTAGTCTACTTCTCTGCCCTCCCCGCAATTGCAACTAATACTTATATGCTCATGATTATTAAACCTCTGAACTTGATGAGGCCCTCGGTACAAGCTGAAAAAGGTGAGGCAGTGTCGTAGGATTAGGATCCGTGGGAATCTGAGCCACTTGCTGGCGCCATTTACATGGACCTTCAAGAAACGCTCCAGCCTGACCTTATATACACCACGCCCACTTCTACGCATGCCCAGCTGTGTGATCTTGTGGGCCAAGCAACATCCACATCATTAATTGGCATTTCAAGTCACGTGGTAACCTTGGTGGTCCATGGTCAAATATTTCGTCTCTACTAAGATCCAGTTAAAAAACCAAGAGTGTTTCTCAATAGGAGCATAGTTATCTGCAGAGAACAGTATTCTTAATTCATCTAAGAGGCCTGCTTAGGCTCAGTAGCACATTCAGCACCACTGAATTGGCCGTGTCTTACGACTAGAGTGGCAGAGAGACTTGCACAGCAGCCTGGACCTTTTGCCAAGCCCTCATTTTTTCTTGGCCTTATCAAAACTGCAAGACTTTCCGACTGCCCAGTAAATAGCTCTAGGATATAAAAACAAACCCAAGTAAGTTATATGTTGCCTCCAAAATTCAGTGAGGCATACTCAGTATTATGACTCTTAATGGTAGGAGGGACCAGATGTAGCAACTTGACCTTAACCTTAGAAGAAATATTTCAACCTGAGCCGGACCATGGAAACCCAAAAAAGTTCATTGTAGGAGTAAACCCCTAAA